AGGAATAAGTCGGTAGCGTTGTTATTGCACTATAAAGGTCTCTGTGAAGTAAGCCAATGAAGAAAATGTCTTAAACCTACAGTCTTTCCTGAATGGCCACCAGTGGGCCAGCTCCACCGGCTGCAAAACATAAGTCGGTAATAATTATTGAGTCTATTGGAGAAATTACTCGACTTCTCAGTTGATTTCTTGAGCTCTCAGTTAAACCTTGTCCTGATGGTTGTTTTATGGTCTCAGTTCTTTCTAGTTTCAGTCTTTATAACAGCATGATTTACATTTAGTTAACCTGATGGTCCATTTAGAGGCGGGGCTTACCTTTGTTGATTGACAGCTTCATTCTCAGTGATCCCGTCCAGCTTCAACGCAACCAAACTCAGATCAACTGTCCAAACAGTTGCTGTTCAGATATGGATCCAGATTCCTGTTGTTGTACTATTTTTCTCCTCAAATCCTTGTTCACAAACACTTTTTACCTGTTTATCTGGAATACCAGATCCTGAGTGAGCAGACGAGCGCCATTTTTTCCTGATAGGCACGATAAGGACGAGTTGAAACTGTGCAGCCAATGAGGCTGAAATTCAAGAAAACTTAATCATAAAACTAATTGTCCAAGTAAGTTCAGACGAAGAAGTTTCCTGAAGACCTGTTGCCTAGGCGACATGTTTTGGTTCCTCTTCTCTTTGAGGTTTATTGGCGGTTTGCAAACAACTGTTTGTTTTTGTTTCCTGGTTTGCGACCTCTGCTTCTTCTACTCTGTTAATTACAGCCATGCGTAACGTGGCCGATACCGCCAACTTCTGATAATACTACACTGTAGCCTGATTTATTTGCTTCAAACCCGACAGTGGTAACGTATCTAATTTGTATTTTCTCTTTCGCAACATTTCTAAAGTTTGCTTCAAATTTGCTCAACACTTGGATGAAAACACGACTGTTTCAACTGATACATCCGTAATGACAATAAGAGAGGATGGTATTTAGACATAATTAGTGACTCAGATGGTAAATACAACCCAAAACGAACGAAGCTTCCTGCTATTCTTTCATTGTTCTGAGTAGCAAATGGACTGAGCAGAAAGTAGATGCTAATTTTAATCTATTTGTCGAGACAATAAAGAGACACGATGTAACCCACTGACAGTATCTCTTGGAAACTGACATACTACGATGAAAACACACTTTATCCCCCCATTTAGTTCTCTGTTTACACTTTAATCAGAGTGCGTCAGAGATATTTTCATCTATTTTCTGTTTTTTTACCTTTTGTTGAGCTTCTTATTTTTCTTTCTATTACTGCCAGGACTTATGTGTAGCAGGTTTTTAACCATCAGAAGTTAAAAGGAATGGAGTGACAGAAGCAGAATAATGTTTGAGTGCATGATGGGAGACTCCATCCTCTGCAAACCCGACTGGATAACAAGTGCGCAAATGAAGAAATGTTGGCAGCATTTTTCAGCATTTGGAGCGTAATAGAAATATGACAACTTGACAGCTCGCTGCACCTCAGTCATCTCAGGTGTCGATCCGTCTCAAACGTGCCTCTAATGGGAGCTGGCAGCCCGCAACTCCCAGGTGGCTTTGTAGGCTTCCTCCAAAGGCGGCGGTTAGCGGCTCTGCTGGAGACCTCTGAAGATTTATCATCAATGAGCTGAGAAGAAACTCTATTACCGACATCTGAATACACTCGCAGAAGCAGCAGCATACTGTGCGCACTGAATACAGACATGCACAGCACGAGCACATGAAGTTGCATGTTCTTGCACAAGTAAGAAAGTCTATTCATACCTTTGAAAACGCACACATTTATATACACAAATTCGCTTAATCCAACCTTCCAGATGAGTTGTGGCCCAGAGCTGCAGGTGCCTAAGAGGATCATGGGAAAAACGCCAAACTCTGCCCGACCGCTGGCAGCAAATCAGAGCAAACACAAATCAGCAGCAGCCAGCCTGGAGAGCAGAGATGATCTGTGCTCCGTAATCAGCAGAGTTTGCTGTTGGTTAACTTTCTTTTTTTAATTTATACTTAATGATAAGCTGAAACCTCCATTTGTTCTTCACTCTGCAGAATCAAATTAATTAAAGAATCATCATTGTGAACATTAGCTCCTACAAATGTAATCCTCCTCCATCCAGTGTTTCACCAAACTCACATAATCTTCTTATTGTGTGCAATTACTTTTTGATGGCGTTGCAGCAGGTGAGCGTTCCAGAGGTGCCAGAGTGTCCAATGTGTGTCATCAGAAATTAACTCTACTTGTTTGAAAAATGAAATCAAAGGGTTACTTTTTATCATTTGCTTTCTTGTGAAAAGTTAGAATAAATACATAGCCGGAGCAGTTTTATGGCGTGATTGTATCCAGCCAAGAAATAATCTGGCAGATAAAATTGGGGGGGCAACAATAAAATGCCATTTTATGGGTAATTTATTGTTGCCCTCCTAAGCCATTTTAATTAAACAAATGAAATATGAATATGTTCATACACTGGTTCCTAACCTGAGGGTCCCGACCCCTACTAAGGTTTACCAAAAGTTCATGTGGGATTGCAAAGCCTTCTTGATTTTAAAAGGGTGTAAGACAGCTCCTCCTTAATGTTACACACATCCGTGGTTACATAAAGGATACAGTACTACCTGTGTTGGCACTGGACATAAATCATGAGGTGCAGAATAATTTCCATTTTGCAAAAAATGTAAGGTTCTAATTTATCAGTGCATATATTACATTTACATATTCATGTATCTTTTAATAGTCCTGGAAGTCTGTGCAAGTTCTACATACGTTAGAGTAGTTTCAGTAAAAATCAAATTCTCATCCTGATCATTTATCTTTAGGCATTTTAATATTCTACTAGAAGTTGTGAATGAATCTTGCTGGCAAGAGGCACCATGTGGTTTTGGACATTAAGCCTGTGTTTTTGATGTGCATGTAAATCCTCTGTGCTTCAAAGCTTAAGATTTATTTTATTTCAAAGTGAAGTCCAACATGTTCTAAATGACTCGTAGGAGAGCCTCAACAGCACAAAGTATGATCAACTCATTGTGCATCGCTGCACTGGTTGATTGCTACTGACAAACTGTCCAGTTCACTGCAGTGCCGTCAAGTTCAATGATTCACAGAAATATCAAATGCAGTTAAGGGGAGAGAAACATCCATGCAGCCCAGTGTGTCAACAACACACCGTATGTGAATGTTCTGTTTTCTGTTTCTCTCTGTATCTACTGTACGTTCGGGGTGAGAAGGCCTAATGTGCTCCTCAGGGTTTAATTTGTGCACTTAATGGATCTAGAATCAACATCCGGCTCTGAATTTTTTCCATCAGTTTACCATCAGGAGCGAGTACATCCAAAGGTCAGAAGGTCTGATATTGCGTCTGCAATACACCAAGAAGCACTTTGAAAAATCCTGTTGACATTTCTGTGTGTTTGTGTTGGGTTGCATCCTTACGTGCAGAGAGGGTTGACCCGTGTAAAGTGCATGAGTGACATAACTGACCTTTTTCATATGTCTCTGGCAATCTCTGAGCATCCGCCTGACAAGGTCAAACTCCTGGTACGTCGCTGCACACGCAATGCATTTGGTGTTTAAATATGATTCCTGATCCGTCCTCTTCGGGTCCATCCCTTTCTGTTGCTGTCCGTTTCATCATCAGACATTTGGAGGAAGCTTTTAGCATGCAGGTCCGCTGGGAGTCAAACCCTTTGGCTTGTCATGCCTGATTACGCTTTTCCACCCAAATGAGTGTAAAATAACTGCTTTTAACCATTACTGTTTGAATCATTTTTTTTTGCTTTTAAGCATTTGTGTATGATGGATTTTGAAGCTGCAACGAATAATCGAAAGCCATTTGTAGCTCAGTATTTTAGCAGTTAGAGGATTTCTACCAGGATTATTTCTGACATTGGCAAAGTTTAGAACCAAACAGGTTGAGTCTGGATCTTCGAAAAAACAATTTTATCATCGGTAATGTGTTAGCAAAGCGTGTATGGGTAACCCTAACTTCTAACCCGTGTCTAACCCTAACCCTAACCCTAGGCTTGCATTGATGAAATCTTGTATGTTGAGAATTGAGTCTGCTCTAGACCACTAGAGCATTAGGTAGGGGGAACCCTCTTATTGCCACCAGGTATTTTGCACTCTGCACTGATGATGTACCTGTCCTAATACTCTGTTCAGGTCAGGGCCAAATGGTTCTGAATTGTATCTGCAGGATATGATACACATAGTATCACATTAAGAACTCAAAGCTTTCACTGACAAGTTGTAGCAGCTTGAGCAGCTCCCGGTATATCTTCCCCGACTATAAAATGTAAAATATGCCGTTGAGCTGCAGTTAGTATCAGGCTGAAATGAATGAGCTACAGAATCTCTTTATCTCTCATCCGTCCATCCCAGTGGATTATTTCTCATTGTGTCTTTTTATCTCCGCTCCTCCAGATGGAGACGAGGAAGCGCCTGGCCAAGATCGTCTTGGTGTTCGTGGGCCTGTTCGCCCTGTGCTGGTTCCCCAACCACGTCCTCTACATGTACCGCTCCTTCCACTACCACCAGATGGACCTGTCACTGGCTCACCTCGTCATCACCCTGCTGGCCAGAGTCCTCAGCTTCTCCTCATCCTGCGTCAACCCCTTCGCCCTCTACCTGCTCAGCGAGAGCTTCCGCAGGCACTTCAACAGGTCGGATATAACGAGAGTTTCTGGATCCTGCCGTACTGCGGTCTAGCCTTTAACTCTGTCCACTAAAACTACACTCACTGTGAAAAGCAGTCATTGTATATAAAAATCACAAGAGCTGTAACCTGTAACCAAAAAAAGATCCAGTTGTATATAAGTTTATAGATTTGTAACCAGATCTGTAAATCTTTAAAAAAAAGTCCCAGTCTGTAATCTTCTGCATACTACAGTTATCATTGTCTCTCATAGTTGGATTGCAAAAAAAAAGCCTAAAACCACCGCAACATGCATCACATTGTTTTAGAAAAGCTGCCAGAAAAAGCCTGCAAGATCCTGACCTTATAGAAAAACACACATATCATGGAGAAACGTGGTTTTTGAAAAAAAATGTTGTTTGTAATGTGTGAAGCCCATGTGAAACCTATGTGATTGTGTTACAACATTTGGTAGCATCATTCCTACATGTGATCACTTCGATGATAAACATTGGAAAATTATGCGTTTTTCTGTAAGGTGGGGAGAACTGATTATTGGTCATTTACAGCAAAAAGGTTATTTAGTTTTGCAGATAAATCTCAGTTCACACAGGAGTAAACTAGATAAAATAATTTATTTACAATAAAAAGCTCAAAAAGCAAAAACAAACAAATAGATACGAGGAATCTGTAAAGTCAGCAGTGTAGGGAGTGGATGAGTGAATATGCACTGAATGGATGTTGTGCTGTAAAGAGGCTGCTCTGGCTTTATACATGGGGTACACTGGGCCCAGGTGTGTCCCATGCTGCTGATTAAGCCTCCTAATTATCTGCAGCCCTGGAGAGAGAGAAAGCACAGCAGCAGCACAGTGTGGATGCAGAGGGACCGTCACAATGACTATGATTATATGCACGCTAATTCTCCACTATTATTACCAATATGACAGTATTCCACATTTCACAAGGGTAATGTAAGCAGCAAATTCCGTTTGGATATTCCTAATTAGATCTCCAAATGGAGCATTTTTAGATGCAAGATGTGTCAATATTATTCAGGTTTTAGCAGCATTCTTTGGACATGTAAACAGCACATTTAGAATATGCTGCTCATTTGGGGTTTTTAGTTTTTACCAACAGTTTTTGAGGCTGGAGTAGAGATTCATTCACAAAAGAAAAGCCCACATTTCTATTCGGAAGGAAAAACACACCTACTGTTAAACGTTATGAAAGACTCAGATATCAGCAGGTTTCTGGATATGGGCAAATGTTGCAACACCAATCATTTCAAGATGGTGGTTGAAGGCTTGAAAGAGGGAAGCTGTGTTCGTCACCGTTGGACAACGTTGAAAAAATCCTCTTTTGATGCAAAGAGGCAATATGTCTCAAGCTGTTCTATTTTTACCACAAGAGCAACATGACTATAGTTTGAAAAAAGGGTGAAACTCCTCTGTAGGACACACTACGTCATTAACAGTTAGGGTTAATCGGAGTATGCATAGCTGCACGTAAACAGGAACACTAGTAGAATAGTCATTTTATTTAGCCACGTAAACAGCTACGGGAATAATGGCAAAAAACTGAATATATTGAGCATGTAAACATAGTCACTGTTTACACATACGCTCTCAGTGTTTGATTAGAATAGTTAAAGTTCTTTATTGATCATGAGTGATGGGACAATATATGGTATTATTATGGAGATAAAAACACTGAAACCTTTATCATCTATCTCACCAGCATACAGTCCTATATTGGGCCAGTGACTGTGATGCATGAATGAATCAGCTGATACAAGCACAATTCTGAACTAATGCTAATATAGATGGAAAACATGCAGAAGAAGAATGCCTGCACAGTTCTTTATTTCTTTATTGACTGCGCCTATAAAATGCAAATATTAAGATATATATATGCCAAAGGATGTAGATCAAAACCCCTGCAGACAGCTGGGACTTGGCTTCTGCTGCTGCTCAGTATTGGCAGGGTGTTGCTGAGGTTTTGCATTCTGTGTACAGAGAATGGTAAAATGCAAATGTATACTAATCAAAACTTTCCAGAAGGCTGAACATTTGTAGAAATGTTGCACACAAACAGACGGCGAGTAACTAATTTTCCACTGTAAATGGACTCCATAACCTCGTCGCAAAAGCAATCATGGCCTCGTCATTATCTAAATCTCCTTTTGAGTGCTCCCACTTCCACTAAACTTCCTGCAACTTATCATAATTCTACCTCGTTATGATGGAAACTGTCTTCAGAACTCTTCACGCCAACCGGCACAATCCTCCCAAAAACGGTGACAGTCGCAGTGAGACACAGTAACCTGGGGACGGGCTTTAGGCTTTCATTTGGGTCAGATTTGCAGGCAAATCCTGACACCTCAGGAGCAGCAGAGAATAGGTAGGAAAAATAAAATGTGCCTTTGGGAAGCAATTATAATGGTGCTGTAGCATGAAGCACGCACCATAATTCATCTGTCTTTGGATTTATTTCTTATTACTCAGAAGGAAGTTTCAACTGAACGATGTTATTGGACCAAATGTGAGGATTTCCATTAAGTACAGAAATGTTAAGCATTCACTTTTTTTACCCAGGGAGCTAGTTAACAAAATGTATTTCCCTTTTTCTTAGGATTGTTACTTTTGGAAAAACTAAATCTGTCCATACACCCACACAATACAAAGTTTGAGTACTGGAGTTTATGACTAGAGTTTTTGTTTTTTCCTATAAAAATGAACATCCTTTATAGCTGCTGGCTTTCCATTAGGGCTGCAACCCCAAGCAGTTTCTGGGCTGCTTACTCCCAGCCAACATGTATACGTGGCCCCACGTGGGTCAGCTAAGCAGGCCGAACCGATGTGGGCTCCATATGTGGGTACTGGTTGGGTCACTAATGGGAAATGATAGCATGAGCTCAGAGTGGGCAAAACAAATAGAGCCTATTTGGGCTATATGTAAGTCCAGCACCTCTATGTTTACCCTCTCAAGCTTGTCGTTATTATCTCTTTGCTGTATGTATGTGTATTTCTGTGTATAGACATTGAGAGCAATGTGAAACCGGAGTCAGATTCTTTGTATGTGTAAACATACCTGCATGGCCAATAAAAGTGACTCTGATTCTGAATCTAAGGAAACAACACAATTGTGGCTAGAAAGGAACTCAAAAATGTCTTCTGTGCAGTATAAAACAGTCAGAATGTTATAAATCATATAGAGTTGAATTTCTTTGCTGATTTATTTTTCATAAACAATGGGGTCTATACAATACAGCCCACAAGTGTTACTATTAATTGAAAGCGCTCAGTACTCAATGCTTTGTCCTCTGCTCTTCCTCTGTTAAGCATCCTGCACGTTCAGTCGTAATTGGCTGAATTGTTTGTCACGTGACGTAACATTGTTAATGAGACATGCAGACTGAAATTTTGATTAAATATCACAATTTTTAACTTTGATTTGGTTAGTTTTCCATAATTGCATTCAGCATTGTAAGGATTCTCAGGGATAAGGATTATTTTCAGTACAATTCATATTTATTAAGTTCCCAGATAATAAACTAAACATTTAGTTTATGAAATGTCAGAAAGCAGTGAAAAATGTCCATTAAAATGTCAAGATGACGTCTTTAATTGCTTCTTTGTCGAACTAACAATCCAAAAACCGAAAGATATTCTGTGATTTTTCTCTTCATCGACAAATCGTTTAGGACACTGCATATATACAGTATACAACATCAATAGTAAAAGGTGTTGTCTGTCTATACTATAATAATTGCAGATACTTTGTGCACTAAGATAACTCTTTCTTCTTCTTCAGTCAGCTGCGATGTGGTCGAGGTCCCCGTCCCGAGCGCCAGGCCAGCTACATGCATAGCACCTCCCACATCCGCCTCACCTCCATCAAGAAGACCACGCCCACCGCCGCCATCATCGCTCCAGCAGCCAACGGCAACTCCAACAGACAAGAAGTGGCTCTGTGAAGTTGGAGGCTGTGAGTCTGATTTTCAGCTTCACCTCATCCCGGCAGCTCTGCAAACATTGGACTCCTGCAGTTACAGACCAGGAGAGGTATTTTGGTGCAAAGTGTAGTGGATGGATGGAGGAGACCTTACAGGCCTTGTACCGGTTGAATGATTGTACCAGTCCTCCTGTCAAATCGGACTTTGTAATCTACATCCTCAACTGGGCAACCAAACAAAAAGTGCCTCTTGGAAATATTGGAAATACAATGTCACACATCGAAGGGAACAGCAAAACCCAATACTTAACTTTTCTACGGCTACAATTCTCCAGATATATTTAAATATGTTTGCTAAAAGTAAATATCTTACTTGAGGTGTTGGAAGAACACTAGCACTAGCATGGTTACCACATTAGCATGTCTGCTGTGAAAGCTTGTTTCTCTGTGCTCAGTTGCTGGAATGCTCATCGCTGATTGATCTAAAAAAGCCATTTTCATCTGTCTGGTGACACTGTATTGATCCACAGAGAGGGCAAATTTTGTTGAGGATCAGACACAGAGCAATAGCCCCGGAGACATTAGCGAGTCAACCTCTTATCCAAAGACATTTCAGAGAATGCTTGGGACCGTTGGAGGATTGAACGTATGGGATGATCTCTCTTTGAACTGCTACGACTGTTTTAGAGATGAATGGAAAGCGTTGTAGCAGTTAAAAACTACCCGAAGCCTTGTAAACCAAAATATTTCTCTGTGTGGAGGAAAACTTCTTTGTTGGTTTCTGTTACTCTCTGTGTTCACCAGCTACGACTCTGATAGCTAATGGCAGATTGTTGAAGGAGGAAGGAAGGGGCCACTGTAGCTTCATATTCTGTTGGTCATGATGTCACATCAATGCGTGTATGTACTGTACACTGCTAAACAAAAAACAGTTTAACTCTAATGCAGTTCAATCCAGAAAGCATTGATTTAGTGATTTGTATGTTGAAAGAGTGGAGCCTAGACTGGGTGAGGTCTATGCAGTCTACATGTGGTTTAGGGTCTTGCGTGGCCTTCTGGTCAGTGATTAAATGACCCATGAGTTGTGTCCATTGGGGATGGGACGATATGTTATTATTGTATATCGCCATAAAAAATACTGAGAAAATTATAAGTACTGAACTTCGGTACTTTAATGTCACTGAGCGAATTGCGTCGATACTACCGAGTGTCAACCCCTGTCCTGTCATCTGGCACCAAATATAAATAGCAGTCAGTGCGGCAGTAACGGGTGCACCAGACCTTTCTGTGCAGCCAACCTGTACCTGCTTGTTAGCAAATCCGTTCACCGCATAGTCCGCTGGGATGGAAGCGGTCTAGCGGTCTATTTCCTGATATTTTTTAATTGCCACAAGGGGGAGCCTGTATCATTCAAAAACCCCAAACCCGTCAAACTAAAGAATGACAGGGAAATGAGGTGCCTATCTGTGATGCAATAACTATAAATATTTCTTGACAAAATATAAGTTAATGTCCAGTATGTTTAAGTCCCACTTTATTCATCAGTATACTTTGTGAATCAAGATACATAGGATAATCCTGACATGAAATTCTCATATCGTCCCATATCTAGTGTCCATATTCTCGGCAGGAATCAAGCACATTCTCAGTAGGTAATAGACTCTGCAAGAGTTGTGCCTTGTCACCGATTCTGTTTCGTGGACAGAGTCCAGTAGGTGACTTCAAGATTGTATCCCAGCTCCAGCCTATAAATTGTAATAAATTATATTCCAGAAAAAATGTAGTTCCTAGTAAATTATTAAAAATTGCTTTCAAATAAAGTTTAACCTAATTGAACACTATAAGACAGGGATGAATTTTACTAAAATATAAATATGTAAAGATATTCATAAAGTGGCAAATTATTAAGCCTTTTAGACATACTGCAATAATCCTGCTACCTGCATTTGCTTTCAACCAAAGCAAAACCACTCATGTGTCATGTGTTGAGATAATCTGAGTTTTCCCAGTGCTCTGCAGCACAAGATGGCCACCACTGCTCTAGCATCTGGTGCTCCCGAGTGCCAAAACACCCTCCAAGTCCTGCAAACACGCAAGTTTCTTCCCCTTTAAAAATAAGTCACTAAAGAACGTGACATGGTGAAGAGCGGTTCCTGGTGGATGCACAGACTAACAGACCTGTGTATAGGATAATGTTGGTTCTTTGCGTTGCAGCTTTGGCATGAATTGACAGGTAACGTGTTGTATATTCAAAACAACCACTTTCAGAAAAATCTGATCACGTGAGGTACTTTTGATTACATTTTGATGTTGTTGTTTTTCTTTTTTAAAATGTTTGATGTGTTCTTCAGTGCCAGGCATGTGTCACGTTCCTGTGTTTGAAAATATGGAAAAATATGCTTGAATCTCATAAAGGCACATAATACATTTTCCTATTTGAGCGCACATATACACACATCAAGTCCCACAATGCAACGATTTTCCAGTACTTTAATAGAAATAAATGTTTTTTTTAAAAGCAATGCTAAGGGTTGAGACAGGACACGTTTCAGGGCAGTCTAACTACTGGTTGTCACTTTGGGCTTTTAGCTCTTCAATGGACAATCATGTGTAAGTGGAGCTGAAATTATAGTACATAACAGGTGGGTGTCAAAGTGTTTCAATGCACCTGTTGGTGGTTGTCATATGTCCGTAGGAAACAGCAGTGGAGCTGTGGGTATCCAGACAGCTGTTGGCTCCTCAAAACTTTTGACGTGTCATTAACTGGGGGGAAGTTGGATAATTACGTTTTCATCCCATTTTCCGGACATCATCGAGACAGACTCATGAAAAGTGAGGACATGGGCTCACTCAGACACTTTGACGTGACTCACAACGGGGCTTTAATCTCCTGATCACTCTGATGGTTTCAACACCGCCCTGCTTCACACACTAAATACAACGAATCTCACAGGTGTCACCCTGTGACCATGGCAACCACAGAAGGAAAATGATACAGGAGCTAATTTAACCGGTATGAGTTCCCTGATTCATACATCTCTACAAAACAGATCAATATAAAAATGTCTTGGAGTCACATCAGCTTCACAGTTTGATAATTTCATAATGACAAATCATAGATATATAACAACAACTAGATACCCTATTGCAGTCCCTGCTTAGCCGATAGACTTTAATTGTGAGGATGTCAAAGATTTTGCTTTTCTTGGCTCAAGAAGTTTAACAAATATAAAACCTCCATAGACAAAAAAAATCAGTTGTCTGCAGTTGGTGGTGTCCTGTCTAGTCTCTTTTATAATGGTGGTCTATTAGGAAAATGCTTTTTGGGCTGTAGGGGAATCTTTAATACTGCAAGTGGCCACTGGGCAAAATTGGAAGCAAGAGTGAGCATCACACCGTATCTATAATGGAACTGTCTGTTATACTAGATCTAACAAAGGGTCACAAGATAACTTTAGCATTCCCCTCGCAATATGTTTTGCAATCCTGTTCTATGGGAGTGTGTAAGTGTGTTGGTCCAGTCAAATTTGTGCCCTGCTGCCGGCGATTCAGATCATTCAACAGCAACGTTGCCGTTAGCAATAACTGCTCGCTGTCTGAAAGCACCAAAATTAAGATACATTTAAAGCAGGTAAAAGCGCATATTGGTATCTTAATCGTCTGTGCTCCTGTTTTTAAAAAAAAAAAAAAATGTTGGATGTCTCAAACAGATTTAAATCAAATTTGGTGGCACATTTGGCAACAGAAGAAAGATGAATTAGTTTTTGGTGCATCTCTAAACCTAATAGTGCCACCATGTTGCCATATGTAAAACATTTTATGTTTTGGCTTTGTTTCTTGAACCATGAGTGATATATTTCTCATCTTCTCTCGTTGTCATTGGTCCATTGTTCCACATAAAATATAATAAAGATAACAGCGTGTAGGATTTAGTTACATCCAGTGGTGTAATTACAGACTCACCCTCCTCTTCCAAGCACAAAGGATTGGAAGGAGAAGCGTTTGGTTTGTCACTTCTGAGCTACTGTAGAAACATGGTTGTTCAACACGGTGGACTCATGGAGGTTGGCCTGTGGCGTCTGTACAGATTTCAGGTGATTATACTCTTATAATAAAAACATACCTATGAATATTATATTCAATTTCTGCCAATAAAGCCTCCTAAATGTTCCACACTGGACCTTTAATCTGTTACAAGCCAGTTCATAGATGACAGCACGAGAGTTTCCACAAACTGAAACTGACATATTTTGGATGCAAGGGATGGAGACTACTGTGCATGTTATTAAAATGGGACAGGCAATAACCAGTATTTAATTTGATCATCTAAGCATAAAATTAGCTTAGTACTTATTATGCAAGAAATAATAATTCACTCTGTGATAATGGCTGCCATCCGTGCATCCAATTGCACCAATCTAACTAACTGTGGCCATGACAGAAATCATGAGAAAAAATCTGTCATTTTCTCTGGCTTTGACTTATTTTCTGCTATGTCCCTCTCTCTTCTTTCTCCTGAATGTGAAACATCTTGACAAAATACTGCATGTAATGCCATGAAATGTTGCACAGACATTCATGCTCCCCAGAGGATGAATTCTAGGATAGGAGGATAATTTGGCTATATTCTAATGAATCACACAGCTGATCATCAGCTGAGCGGACTACAAATATCTCCCGTTGTAAAGTTCTGTCTAAGGTTCGTCCTATTTACTGGATTAGTGAACAACGTTTCTGTTGCACAAGAACGTTATGGGATGGTAATGATTGTTCCAGGTGATAGTCCATCCCTCAGTTGTTACCAGGGAAACAGGGAGTTATGGCTTGAAAAAGACGTGATTGTAAAAGGCCTGAACATCACTGAAAATACTAATTAATGGTCTTATTTTTTTTTTTCCTTGATGAGTAATGCACAATGAGGTGTCCATTATAATGAATGAGAGGCCAGAACTGTAGCTTCAATTTCCTTCTGACTGAATTCTCACCACCGTCACATGTACTACTTGTTTCAGCAGACAAATG